CGAGTCATCTATTTCAACTGGAGTTTTCGGTTTTGATGATGTGCTATCGAGGTTCTCTTTATTTTGTTCTGTTTCCGGATTCTTTTTTTCTCTTAAATCCTTGAATGCTATTGGCCAATGCATCAAAAATCTAAATGTAATCGATCATTAATATTTATTAATTAGCGGGAATGAATGATGAATAGCATACATACAAATCAAAATAATCCAATTTAGCACGTTCCAATGAAAGTTCACAAGTTTCTTTTACCATATCTGGCTGGTGTTGGGTATTCCATAACTAACATTATCCGAATGGATTAATATGAAGAGACGAGGATGAACCGGATGCTTAATCACACACACCTTTTGTGTTAAAAAGATATCTTCACGCTTAACCTTTGAAGCAGCAATTGCTCGTCCCACCGGTTGATCATTTGTATACTGATTTATGACATAATTAAGAAGGTACTGGAGGATAAACTAACACATTGCATATCGAAAAAAGGAGAGAAGCTTACGATAATGGCGGTATCGATATGACGATATCCAATTCTTAAAAACTTTTCCACCTTATACTGTACCTGGTGAGGGTTATATGTCGAATTTTTTACTACCGCAGGTGCTCCAACCCCAACTGTTTAATTTTAAAGATGTTATGTAATTTCTTTACGCTATCCCCAGTCCATAGAATTAAACACGCAAAAAGACGCGAGAAAACAGGTGCATACTAGCAGGAATCAACGCGCCTGTGTAAAGTTTAAAAGTCCGTGCCAAAGCCATTATCAAAAGATTTTTCGATTCGAATTTAGAGGGGAATGAAAAATTTTTCTATTTGCATTTTCACATATTGAATAATATATGAGCCGCGTAAAATAAAATGAAATTTTTACTGATGATACAAAATGAGTAATCCTTCCTTATTGGCCAATTGGAACAAACTCATACGCTTCAGTCTATAGTATTTTGCTCAGGATACATAATTGGCAACTTAAAAATAACAGGAGTTAATAAATTCGCACATTAGACACAGAAATACAGTTTTATCTTTCTAAATCAAAAATACAAAATATAATACATAATGTTTTGACTCATAAATAAAAATTATCACTCTAAATCGAATAAATATAAAAAGAACAAAAATAAGGTAATAAATTAAAATGTCATCTCCAAATAAACTTTATCTTGGGTTCAACAGACAACTTTTCATCCAACTCTTTAGCACTACAATTCTCTGCAGTACAAATTTCGTCATAATGGTGTGTACCATCAAGTAGCCTATTAGATCAAAATCCAAGAAAACTGAGCAAAAAAATAAAAATGCATATAATAAAAATAAAAATCGATCAAAGAAAATAATCTTACATACTTTCGCAATTTTAATGGTAGCTTACTAGCATTACTATTACTATTATCCCCTTCACCTCCACCATTACTCAACAACGCAACTTCAGGAAGAACAGGATACTTGTGAACTCTATACAAGAATCTTTTGATTACCCCAAACGTTATAAACCGTCTAATAAAGAAATTAATAAAAAAGGATCAGCATCTAAATGTATAAATATCAATGATGATTATATATTAATCAATAAAGCATTCTCACAGACACATGAAAAAGGTAAATCAATTAATTTACCTGATATCAATATTCAACGAGGAGACTTGATATTCTTCAAGCCACTCTTTCAACGAAACCCCATACTTCAATTGACAATACAATGAAAATAGTTTTGCGAATGAAGGTGGTGGAATTGCAACTGATTTGGTGACATAAGAAATACACTCGTTCTGTACTGCTTCATCTTCAAGAACACGCATTATATCTGGTTTTACAGCATAGACATTTGAAAACTAATTTTAAGTTAAAATAAAATAAATATAAATAATATATAATTCAATTCAGATACAAATAGGAAACAGAAAAACACCTGAAATATGTCCACCATTATTATACATCCATAATATCTAAAGAGTCATCAACACAAATATAAATATTATCCTTACACATTCTCAGAAAAAGAAAGTCTAAAAAAACTTACAGCAAATGTTCCATGCATTTTCGTGCAAGATCATGATTAACGTCTGCTAAATCCGCAATCTTTTTTACGTGATGTATCCCATTAATGCGCGTCGCTATCTTTTACGAATAAATATATAAAATTAATAATCTTCATTGTCGATAAAAATGTATAGAAAAACAATAGCAAAAGAATAAATGTAAAGTACATTCTTCATGGTGAGATCCCAATTAACATCCATAAGTGCTTTCAGATTAACGGTGCAAATGGGAACTTGATAATCGTAAACAGGAGGAGGATTTGGATAAGTCGGAAACAATTTCAAATTTATAGTATTGGCGGAATCTAAATTTAGCATTTAAATAATAATTAATTATCGAAATTAATCATTCAATTCATTTAATCATAAATAAACTTACTAATGGGTATCTGACACTCGCAATAACTATTTAAATCTTCCAGCAGCTGTTCAATAATATTATACATCATCACCTTTGTCTTTTCCTCATATAGAAACCCGTTCTCCAACTCAAGACTCCTCAAAACACGCGCAATTTTACGCACCACCGGTTCATAACTACTGGTGTCGGCATTACGATCAAACACGAAACACAAATTAAAGCAGAAAGAGTTTCGTCGATATTTGAGTCCGTCAACCCATACAGGGTATCCGAGGACTTTATGGGAGTCGGTGCATACCGTGATTAGATGTTTACTAAGTGGTTCTTTTGGAATTATGTAATCAGAAATAGAGGAGAAATCTAATATTGGTTGCTTGGTGGACTCTGGGTTTGGAATTATTGAGCCTTCTGGTACCTCATAGATCACTTTTGGACCCTTGTGAACGTCAAATACTGCGTAGAAAATCGAGACTAGTCGTGGTGGAATGCCTGCTTGAAATTCACTTTCTTTACGCGCATAATCTTCCATTGTATTTAATTCGTTTAGGTAATCGATGAACAAAAAAATTAAGCCAATCACGTTATTTTTTTTGAAAAAAGGCTTTTCTTATAACATCAAGTCATTGAAAAAAGATGTTTGGTGCGTTTCGGGCTACACTTGCATCTTGTGGCGGCTTGTTATGGTACGGGAAAAGTGGAAAATGATAACAAAGGATCTATATTCATCGATTAAGCTTAGTAAAAATAACCTATAAAAACCAGGAAAAATCCTGCAAGAATGAGCAAAACTCGAAAAGCAAATGTTCGAAAACGTCTAAAAGCCGTTGATAAAGTGATCGAGACAGTGATTGACTCGGGAGTGAAACTTCGCGCGTTGGTTTGTTATCATTATTTACAATCAAGCGATTGATTAATATAATAATTTCGATTATATATTTAATAATAAAAGGAGGTAGCCATCAAAGACACGCCCAAAGAATCAACAATGCAACCACGAGACAAGTATACGGTATTCAGTAGAAAACATAAAAAATACCGAAAATCTTTTCATAAAGTACCTAAATTCACTAAAGTTACGATGCGCATAACTCCCGAGGGATTCTAAGAATTTAAGCTGTCTATCAATGATGAGGAGCATCGCGATGATAGATTTACATGAGAAATATTCTAGTAACTCTTTGAAATCCAGTAAATAAAACCGGAGTTTAGGTTTCCACAAATTTAAACTTTTTAGATTTGTCATTTCTTTAAAATACCAAGCTTTAGATATTGATATTAGTCATTTTTCGTCATTACGAAAAATAAAAAATCTCAAGTGTTACGCACCACCACTAAATTTACGCTTGCTGACTGTTTCTATGCTTCTCCCACGCCGCCAATTAACGCTTGCATTATTAAAACCGGATCTTTGTGCAAATCCAAATACAATTTCAAAAATCATTTCACGAATCACAGCGACCAATCAGCATAACAATTTCGAAATAATTCGACAACGCGAGATATTGTGGCGGCAACAAGATGCCGAGGCGTTTTACGCTGAACATCGAGGCCGATTCTTTTTTGAACGATTGTGTGGGTATATGACTAGGTATCTAATCAATTTTTTTGATTTATTTTTATACAGAAAAACATTAAATTTGAAAATATTTTGAAGTGGCCCTTTCATGGCTCTCGTACTCGCTCGTCAAGACGCAATTAAAGAATGGAGAGCACTCATTGGACCAACTCACCCATGGAGGTAGAAATAATGCGACTGACAATTAACAATTAAAAAAAAAAAGCGAAATAATCGAATTATGTATCTTTAGAGCTCGAATTAATGCGCCAAATACACTAAGGTCACTTTACGGTCTAACAGACACTCGAAACTCATTTCATGGTTCAGGTAAATAAACACAAACATCCTGTAAAATGATATTTATATTATATGAATAAACTATTTTGAAAACAGATTCCGACGAAACAGCAAAACGCGAAATAGAATTTTTTTTCCCGGAACTAGATGTTGACGCATGGCGACGGCAAGAAGAAAAATAAGAAAATATCGATATCTCCCTATCGTCCTTGCTGTCTAAAATCAATCACTAAGAATTAACCCCTGACATAAGTGTAGGTTTCATCTGCCTAACCAGTTTCGAATGCAAAGATCAATAAATAAATATCATAGACAGATATTAGAAATAATTTACTGGAAAATTATTTCGCTCATTGGCGCTAATAAACTCATACCATAAAAGCTTCTTTTAAGGTTTCCAGGTAATTTTTGTACAAGATCCGAATTGTCTCTACTATTCGTAGAGCGAATGCTGAAAAACAGATTATATCATTTTATATTTTTCTCACCCACTAAATGTTGAAAGGAAGCTCGGGAAAAGATAAATCCCCTCTTTATCAGCAATTATACTATTGTGTGAATTAGACTCCTATTCAAAAATTAACTTAGAAAGATCCCAGTATCATCACATAAAAAATCTGAAATATCTGGGGAAATTCTTAAAAGTTTCGGAGAAATAACGTACCACTTGCATTGGCCAAATCATTGATCAAAATTATAAGATAAAACATGTGTCGGTTAAAAAATCAAAAACTCGTATTTCATTAAATTAATACAAATATCATTTTTCGAACGAATAAACCTTACCATATTGTCCAACACTATACGTGTATCATTGGGGGGGGGGGGGGGTGTGTAATCAAATCTTTAATTAGATGTACCCCAATTATTTTACAACAGATTAGTATTACAAAGCTACGAAGCAAATTTGTATTTAAGTTGAAAATAATTACCAATTAATATAAAGATTTGTCTGAGAGAACCAGTAATAATTACACCTAAAAAAGAGATTAGGGAAAAAATGCTAATTTCTCATAAATGGTATAAAAAAATCTCGTAACTTTGTAAATACTGCGAACAAGAATCGATTGATATTAAAGTTTGTCAAATAAATGTGTTTGACCTGTGCATGACTTGAGTATCTAAAAAAGTGTAACTCTTATTTAAAATGTTTTAATTTACATAGTGTATCGCACACCCCAATGTATCATGATAATTTCTAGTATCTTCCAATATTTGAATACAATTCGATTGTGGTAGGTGCCTGACATTAGGAAATGGGGTATAGCCAGGAATGTCATAATATAATATTTATAGTTATACCCTGGGCGGCAAGATATTTTGACTAATAAGTCCAGCTGATTTGTATTCAATAATCAATAAAGGATCGCTACAAAAGATTTCATCGTCAGCTTTCGGAAATGAAATTTCTTGCTGTAAGAAATATCGTTTTGTGAGCATCAGTTTTTCTATCAATTTGAAAGGAAATGACAATACATAAGGAATACAACAACTATACCCTATACTCTAAAACTATTAATAAGAAGAGCCATATTTACCATCTAAGGAACGAACTAATTTTTACATTGTATAATAATTGGAATTTCCTTATTATAAATTCCAACCAGATCAACATCTCCAAATTGGGCTAAGATTAATTCCCCAGCGAAAAGAATGTCAATAAACAAAAGAGAAAGGAACAAGAAAAATAAAAATACGCATGTAAAAAAAGTATTTTTTTGAAGAATTGTTGGAAATCACTATTTTTATGGTTTATATAAATGAAATAATAGTAATAAATTATTTGAAATAGAACGTACCGTAAAACGCCGTGCAAAATACCCCGGGTATCTTACATTCTACCCCCATATAATTTGATTTATACCCGGGGGGTATATTGTAAGGAGATAGGATATTTTATGTTGGGGGGTTTTGCGTAAAGGGGATCTATTAGACGGGGGATATATTAGGCAGAGGTTATATTAGACCGGGGGTATATTAAACAGAAATAAAACATGTTTTTTTATCTAACATGATTTTGATCTTGACGCGTTTTTATCTGACACGATTTTTGATTTTAATACTTCAAAAATGACACGTATCAAAGCTACTTTACCACTTGTATGATTGTCTCAAAAAAAGAAAAAATAATGGACTGCAAGGGAAAAATTAACTATTCTTATGTATCTTGACAAAGTTCCAGATGCTAGTATTCAGGGAACAGCAGACAAATTTACTATCCAATCATGTCAGATTTGAGCATGACAGAAAAAAAAGATCAACTTATATTAGCTCAATCTCATATCAAGTGTTTAAATACTGCAAGTTATCCAATTTTGAAAGAAGTATACAAGTGAATTAAAGATTTATGAAACAAATTAAAAGTTGTAACTCATAATATAATTCAAGTCAAATCAACAAAGACTTTCTAATATATTAAAATTTATCCTAATATTGAAGAATTTGAGTGAAGTAATAAATGGATCAATAGCTTTATGAAATAATATAATCTTAATAATCACTATCAAATAATAATAGCACAATGCTTGCCAAAAAATCTTGAAGCAAAACAATATGAATTTTTAAATTTTGTACTATATCATCATATTTAATATAATTATTTTCTTATCTTAATTAGCAATATAAATAAAATATCTTTAATATTTAATTTATTAAATATTATAATAATTAAAGAATTTGAATTATATATAATTAGTATTTGAACTTATAATCATAAAAAATCTAGCTTTATCATAATTTTGATATACATAACTGATAATATAAAATTATTATCAATGATAATCTTTAAACTTAAGAATATTTCTTGTCTTGATTTTCTATCAAATATAATTATTCAAATAAATAAATAAGATTAGATAAATAAAAAGAAGATGTTATATTAAATTTAATATGTTTAGATTAATTATATATCAATGTCAATTGATTTTTATTTATTATTAATTATGAATTTATTTCATAGATATTTAATCAAGTTTGTAAAATATCATTTTGTGAAGAAAAATATAAATCTTGTAATAATATCTAATAAATTAATATTAAAGTTATAACTACTTGATATCTATATTAATAAATCTTTCAAATCAAAGATATATAATAAAGTTAATAAATTATATTGAATTAATAAGTAAATATTAATATATTTATTACATATCAAGCTTAAAATTATTTATAATAACTAGAAATTAAAAATTTAATACTAATTAAATATTTTTAAAGATCTTTTTATAATCTCATAACTAAATAGATCAAGTATGTATGAAATAAAATTGATTCTTAAATGATTCATTACTCTTTTAAGTATTGTGAAATTTTAAATATATTTGATAAATTAGAGGAAAAATTAGTTTTTAATTATAATAAAATTAATTTATAATCTTACAAGATGTAAAATTATATTTTTAAAAATGAATTAAATAATAATAATTAAAAAAAAAGAAATTAGAATAAAGATAATAATAATTTAAGATAAGAAAGTAAAATATAATTTAAAAATAATAATTTTAATATTAAAAATTATTTATATCTGAAAAATAAAAGAACAAAAACTATAAGAATAGAAGAATTTGATTATTATTATATTTTACAAGAGATAGAAAATATATCATATATAAAATTAATTTTTATAATATAAAATTAGAATTAGAAATAAATAAATTTATAATTTATAAAAAATTAATAATTTAAGAAGTATATCTTCTTATCTTTTTATATTTAAGATATTATTATTCTTTTTCTTTTTCTTACTTTTTCACTCTTTCAAATATATTAACTAATATTTAATATACTTCTAAATATAAATAAATATTCATTTGCTTTTGAAAACCTATCTAAAAGTAAACTTTTTATACTTTTTACTTATAATATATTATTATATTATTATATATTTTAATTAACTAATCAGAATTTAAATCACAGAATATATTTAGATCTATTATAATTTTTAAAAATTACTATTTATATATTATATTAGATATAATTTATAAAAATTAGTTATTATTAATTTTGCTTTCTTTTATTATAATTCTTTAATATTTTGCTAATTTCAATTCTTAATTATTTCATATTTAATTTAAAAATATTCTTTATAATAATTCTTTTAAAATTTTACTTATTTTTGAGTAAATTAGATAGAATATTATATTAAAAATAATTTATAATTAGCATAATAAGAAAATATTATATATAAAAAGTCAAGAAGTAATCAAGAAGAATAATTAAGTTTGATAATAGTAGTTAATTATTAAGTTAAGAGTAATTAACTAATATTTTCTTATAATAAACATATATATTTTATCATATATTTTATTTTTATTTTCTTTTTACTCTATTAAAAGAGTATTTTTTTTGAAGTAAAACTTATATAAATTATTTTATTAAGAAAATAATTAGTTATATTTATCTTTCAAAAGTTATAAAAGTAAATAATTACTATGAACACAATTATTATTATTATTTTAAAATATTTATATATATATAAACTTAAAATAATAATAATATTAAGTAATTATTAGTTAGCTAATCTTTTTAAAATTTTAAAATAAATTAAAATATGAAAAATAAAGAAAAAATTAGAATTAATTAATAAAATATTCTAATCTAATTATAAATTATTATCTAAATTAATAATATTTACATAATTTTACTTTATTTTTTTATAATTAATTTTCAATAAATATAATTATTATAATAGTAAATAATTATCAGTATTATAGATTATAATTTTTAGAAATATATTAAATTATAAAATATAAATATTAGTAAATTTATATAATAACTTATTAGAAAAATTTCAGAATTTATTTCTATTTTCAAGCCTGATTTATTTTTAAAATTAATAATAAAGAAAGTTTAAAATTAATTTTAATAATAAATTAATCAAGTTTATATAAAAATAATTAAAATTATATATAGTTAAAGCTATTAAAAAACTGTAAAATTATGATATAGATACTTTATTTATAATAAAAATAAAAAAGAATAAATCTAAAAATAAATTTAAAAAGAAAGATAAAATTAATATTATTACTATAAATTTAAGTTTTGAATTAGATTTAGATTTTAACTTTTCTAATAATAAATTTAATTTTGATTTTAAATTAAGATCTAATTCTAGAGAATTTTTAACTAAATTTAAATCTGAAAATAATATTAAAATTTATATTATTAAAATAAAAAAAAGTAA